AGTGTTTCTCTCCTGGGTGGCCGGGAGCCGGAGGCTCCCAGAGCGCCCGGGAGAGGTTTTTTTGACAGCAGCAAAACCGCCGGACAATAGAAAACTATTGGGCGGAGCTAGCTGTCACTGCTAGCTTCGCACAATCATTTTCTATTTACTTTTTTAAAACTATTTTTCTGTTCTGCTCGGTCTCTGAGGGCCCGAGCAGAACAGCTGAGCAAAACAGCCGAGCCGAATGCCGTTCAGCGGCATTCGGCTATTCACTCACTGCTGTTCGGCATCTATAAGAATAGGCCAAACAGCAGTGAGTAGCCTGCCAGAGGTTCGGCTCAGCCGATCCAGATGTTGGATCGGCTGAGTCGAATTCCTTCTGCACTTGCTGAGCATGTTCGGCCGACCCGAAGCCATGTGAAGCAAGCCGATGTACGGCTGATTTCAGCCGTACCAGCCTGAAGTGAATAGCCGAACAGTGTTCGGATCACTTCACTTCAGGTCGGTCATTCACTCGGCTGCCTACGGCAGCTTAGTGAATAGACCCCATTGTATCCTTAGTGTGCATATAGTCACATTGTCTCAGTTGTAGCTTAGCAGTATATTATCTTATTGTGTTTAACATTGAACAGCGGTTTGTAGTTTTTTTTTAGTTTGTATTGATGTGGGGTATTGGTTAAATAGCACATGACCATCAACCTATCCTTGGGGTGGTAAGTAGTAGACGTGTAAGCCAGCCAAAAATTTGTTTTGTTTCAGGCTTTTGGATTATTTTGGACGCGTTAAATGATAATAATCAATTAACGCTCGTTGCAAAAATAACAATAGACAATATTGGTTGGTGTGTATTTCACTGTTAAAGTGACATTAAGGGTTCACTTTTTTCTTTAATTTTTGACAGTCCACAGCAGCAATAAAAAAAACAGCAAGCCCCCATTCAGGTTTGGTAGGAATTGTTGGGGGGAACCCCAAAGCCAAAAGGGTCTAGTAGGCGGTCCTAGTGGGCACCCCTCGCTTTTTTTTTTTTGGCTTTATGGCTAAAAATTCCTTCCAGAGCTAAAGGGTCTTGTATGAATTAAGGGGGGGACCGCACGCGGTTTTTAAAATGTTTAACGTTTAACAACATCAATTCATTCCAAAGGATATTCGGACAAAATGTGGATGCATCTGCATTTTCGTTAACAAACATTTGGATACGTTCAGGTTTGTTATTTCTTTCATTCGGAAATCCACAATGTCCGAATATTCTGTATTCACCTGAATTTCAAATCAGAATGAAACAAATCTTACATGTTTAGTGAGAAGTGATGAGCTTGGGTATGGTGCGAACAGTTTTCCCTGATTTTGCCCAAGCTCATTCAAAAACTGAGTGA